CCTCAATGTCAATCTCAACAAAGTGCACATCATTGTGATACTCATCGACCACCTGAAACAACATTAAATATGAAATGGACACATGATTAGAAAATCAGCCCAGCAAGCAAGCGAGTAAGATCTCTTCCAATGAATTTCATTTCTGACCAATGTTAAGTAAAAAAGGATCACCTTGTTCAAAATAGGCTTCAGAGTCCTACAGGGGCCACATGTCGGTGAAGTGTATAATACCAATATAACTCTTGGACTCTCATGGTATAGTTTTCTAAGCGCATACTGAAAGCATGGGAGAAAACACAAAGGAGAAAGATGTGAGGCAGTGAAAATGCTTGTAGATAGTTAAGGTTCATATGTTAACAGAACGAAAAATAAAAAGTCACCTGTCCCTTGTGCTTTGTAAGAGTGACGTCAAACTTTTCTTGGACATCCCGCTGTGTGAATTCTTTCTTGGTCTCTTCAGTTTGGGGCTGTCATGTGGTAGACCATAAACACGAAAGAGTGTAAGCCTTGTGAAGTGTGCATAAATTTCACATTCTTACGAAAATAATTCCTACCTGGTGAAATTCAACAAGAAGATTGTTACTCGTGAGGTATCTCTCGGCTGACAAAGCAGCTATGCATCCTGATCCAGCAGCAGTTACAGCTTGTCTCCATTCATGGTCCTAGAGTGACAAATGGGATAGTAGCTCACGCAATTATCGAACCAATATGACTTCAAAGAGTTAATAACAGAAATACCAAAATGTGGCTAAAAGTTCCAAAGCAGAACCTGCACATCTCCTGCAGCAAATACACCTTCAACTGATGTATTTGATGATCCTTCCTGAACCAGCACGTACCCGGAGCTGTCGAGTTCGACTTGGCCTTCCAATAACTGACTGTTCGGCGAATGCCCTATTCCATAAAACAATCCTTTCGCCTCCAGCTCGCTTTCTTCGCCGGTATCAACCCTTCTGAGTAGAATGCCAGACATCTGTCCCTTGGCGTTGCTCAGTACGTCCACCGTTTCCGTGTTGTAATGCACTGTGATGTTTGGATTGTTGATCACTCTGAAACATTCGCCATAACCAACCTGTTAAAAAAACACTCAGGGTGTTGAAAAGACTCAACTTACAGTGTGCTCATTAGTCTATAATTCCAAAAGCCAGCAAATGAGATAAGCGCTATACTTGGAATGGAAGTCATAGCCAAAGGCTTTCCCAGAAACACCCAAATGTAAAGATTTTCGTGGAACACACTAATTACAGTTTATAGATACAACAAAAGAACACTCAACATAAATAATGAGCTGATAAATCCAGAAAGAAGCTCTATCTCAGACTATTCTGATTTGGTTTCCTAACTCCACAGCCTGACAACACACATTCCTAGATTCGGATATACTATTAATAGAGTTGTAACTGTTTTTCTTCAGAAGCCATAGAAGAGGGAGTTGAGTATGACTCGGGAGCTACTAATATGATAACCTGAAAAAAAACTCACCTATCTTGCATAGCCTTGGATGCTCTCAACTGGTCTCTGCGAACAAGCAAATGAACATGACGGGCGTATTTAGTGAGGTACAAAGCTTCCTCTGTTGCCGTATCTCCTCCTCCAACCACGGCGAGTACTTGCCCCTTAAACAAAGGCGAAGCTCCATCACAGATTGCACAAGCACTAATTCCCCTACTCCAGAATTCTTCCTCTCGAGGCAGCCTCAGCCTCTTTGCTGTAGCTCCAGTAGCATAAATGATACTATGGCATTTAACCTACAAAAAATCAACCCAAAATGGCAAACATCGGAAAAGAGCTCAAGCCAAGAAGTTTCTTCCATCATTGTGGTTGCCAGTTCTAAAGAGTATAATAGAAGAACCTCACAAAAAAAAAGAGTGGCATACTAAAGAAAGATAATCACCTTACGTTCACTACTTTGCACGGTAAAGGGAGCTGTTTTGACGCTAAGAGACTCCACATCTTCTGGATACAGCTCTGCTCCCCACCGCTCAGCTTGCTTCCTCATTCTACACAAACAAAAAGATTGCCTTAGAGAATGATCCGTGAATCATAACACACTACTTAAGTATCAGAATGTCACGATATGATATTGCTCATATTCAAAAATTTCTCACTTCTCCATTAGATCGGGGCCCGTGATACCGTCGGGGAATCCCGGGAAATTCTCAACTTCGGTGGTTGTCATCAATTGTCCGCCGGGAACTCCGCCCATCTGATACCCTTCGAAAACCACCGGCTTTAAATTGGCGCGCGCGGCGTATATCGCTGCCGTGTATCCGGCGGGACCGGAGCCTATAATCACTACGTTCTCGATTATCTCACCTGCAATTAAGGAGCTCGATTACTGGTGCTCTTCCCCAAGTAGCAGCACTGTAAGTACCTCAACGAACAAGCAAAAGAGTAAGTCGTAGGATACCTGAAGAAGACGGAGAACTGGAGGCGGAGACTCTGAGGCGGAGGGAATCGGAGCGAGTTCGGGTTTGTTGGCGGAGGATGTAGGAGGCGTCGCGACGACGTGCAGTAGTGGTGGTGAGAAATAAGAGGTGAGGCGGAGGAGAGAGGGCGGATGACGCGGCGGCGACTCGGTGAGTCGACACGGAGCCAATTCCGATGCCTATCTTGGGAGACGCAGCCATTTTTGCCTTACCTTACTCAGACCATACAATTGTCTCTCTCTCTCTCTTTTCAAAAAGACAGAATCCCATTTCTGTTTTGCAAATTGGTAGGCGACTGTGACACACGCGCCGTAGCATTATCTCTTCTCTTCCAAGTCCACGAGTTTAAATGCTTCTCAGCCGTCGGATCTAAAGGATCTCTCTTGATGAAACGTATCAACGGTAGAGAAGCGTGTTGACTGATCTACTTGGTTTTTTTTAGCCAATCGCATTTTAAGTGTAAGCTGACCAAAGGGTTTTAAGAGAACGGATGCTTTTAGCCTTCTTTCTGTTGGGCCATAAATGGGCTTAGTAGTTAGTGGTCTCAAATTTTGTTGTTCTTTTGGTCATATGTGATCATGATATATACAAAGCTGAAATGAACCCATCTAGCTCGAAAAGATTATTCAATCGCACACTCTCTCTCTCGAGTTGAAAAAATAAAAACAAAAAAAAGAGTAAACGGGAATAAAAGGACAACAACACGCAACAAAAAACATTCGTAAATCAGTAATAAGAGTTAATTCTGTTTTTATTTGAAACAAAGATAATTACTGTAAAAATATGTTATCAAAAAGAAATACGAAAGGTATAGTTTCAATGATGGGAATAATACGCTTGAAGTGAAAATCAAAGTAAGAGTTGGTGAGGGAAGTGACAGACTTATTGGCAATGCCCATATAAGTTAGTAAACTTGTTTTTCTTCTCAGTTTCTTTTCACTAAGAAAAAAAGTGACGCATGCAAATAAAGAATACTATTAAAAGTCAAGAAAGTTAAGCTGACCAAAAAAAAAAGAGCGGCCCAATTAAAAAGCAAAGGAGCTTTTGTCTTTAGTATACAGTGTAGTGTCTGAATTCCATGCACTTCCACTGTTTCTGTAAGTCAACAAATGTACTTTCATTTGGTGAATAGAAGATTTGCTATGACGTTACTGCTACTTCATGCTGGTAAAAGTAAAAAAGGTCGTCCCTACTTATCATCCAAATTCGATCGATGGTTTTGTCATTTGAAGTTTGTAAGTTTTGCTTGCACTCTTCTAGAGACGTGTGGATAGTACGCGCCGTTAAAAGGAAGATTGTCGGCAAACCCTTCTTCAAACACCAATAGATGATGAATTGGTGACTTGAAATGCATCAATGGTGCTTTGACCAAATAGATAGATTTAAAGGTGGATTCCTTTCCTTTCTTGCGATTACATACTTTGACCATAGAGACATTAACTTGAAATTACTTTAATTTTATCATGCAAAAAGAGAGATTTAACTTTTACTCCATGTCCATAAACAAGAAACTGGTGAAACGGCGTTCTGTTTAAGTTGTTTGGAGTGAATTCTTTTAAATTATATTTTAGTACTTAAACTCTAAGTAAAACATCCGAAATGAAGGTTTCAAATTTTTCTGTTTTTATTTTGAGTTTCTTCTATACATTCACTTTTACGATACCTAGCTAAACCTAGTGATATGAATCATATGATCACGATACTCTAATCATAATGATATGATCAAAATTCGACTATGATGAATGATCATTTTTTGACTTTTCTTGCCGATCAATTGAGCCTTTCACTCATTTTATACACGTAACTGCACTTGTTTTTTTTTATTTTAAAAAAGATTATGTTGGAATCACACGAATTATTGAATTGAAGATAAATAAGTTAAGGTGTAGAAAGTAGAAAAATACAAAGCATGAAAAGTCAAAAAAATAGTCATCAATTTTGAAGAAAGAAAACAGATAGATATCCAATGCTTAATTTGTCATGAGAGACTAAACAAAATTTTACAAACTAACATGATAAATAAATAATATGCATGATTTGCATTCATTGTTTCTGTAAATTGATAGTACCACCACACCTAAAGGGGGTCCAAACTAGTTGCTTCATATCACACTATCCAATTTTACCAACTGGTATATACGTACAAATATAAATGTATATTCACACGTACTTCTCGTGATTCTTATCATTTTCTATACGTCTAATAATAAAACACACACGTTACAACTTAAAATATATTGACAATATAGCTCGGTTGGTAAAAGGAACGACTAATGCGTCCTTGTAAATAAAATGCAATTAGCAAAGGATTAATTGTTTTTACCCAAATTCGAGTAAAGGGTATGGTCGATGATATAATTAATATTAGTTTTGAAACTTAAAATCAAATATTGGTTACGAGTGAAAATGCCTATATTCTTTAAATATTAATAGTGTTGAATTATTTCCACTTTAGGACATTCTCTAATAGGCTCCTTAAAACAAAAAAGGAATATGCTATTGTATGCAAATATTTGATTATTCATGTGGATATATAAGCCATGTTCCTTGAAAATGGTTCAAAGTATTTATATTATTGTCTCAACCACTTTATTAAACTAAATAACGTCTCTTTCTCCATCTATGGAGTCGTGTTACGTCTTTCTGGATTGAGATCTACCACCACTTGTTCTCTTCATGAAATAATACTTCTTCTTGATGGAGGAAGATGCTGCTGATCATTTACGGTGTAACGATAACAACATTAACGACATAGACCGTTTGCCGTCAGAGTTTATGACCGGGAAACCAACATCCACGGCGGAGCTACAGCCGCCGCCACCACCACCGTTCTTGGTGAAGACATACAAGGTGGTTGAGGATCCGACAACAGACGAGGTTATATCTTGGAACGGAGATGGAAGCGGCTTCGTCGTGTGGCAACCGGCGGAGTTCGCTAGAGATCTCTTACCAACACTTTTCAAGCATTGCAACTTCTCTAGCTTTGTTCGCCAGCTCAACACTTACGTACGTTAATTTATCCTCCATTGTTTTGTTCATCGTATGCTCCATTGTCCCAATTAAGTTTTTAGAACTATTATATGACAGAAGTAATTTTTATTTCTTTATAATATTTTCTTTAATACTTAAATTATACTATTTTTATTGGGGATCAAGTTGAAATTGTTAAATGGTTTTTTTTTTTTTTTTTACTTTGCGTTTACATTTATAACTTCGTTAACGAATATTTGAAAAATGTATATATTCTGGAAAATAAAGCATGGAGACGTGATTTACATATTTGCATGATGCATTCACACATGTGAAGTTCGTACGTGAATTTAGTAGTGACATTAATGAGTGATTACAAAATATTGTAGGGGTTTCGGAAAGTTACGACGATAAGATGGGAATTTAGTAATGAGATGTTTCGAAAGGGGCAAAGAGAGCTTATGTGCAATATCCGAAGAAGGAAGAGTTGGTCACACTCACACTCACACAACAAGTCTCATCAGGTTGTACCAACGACAACAGCGACGGTGAATCAAGAAGATCATCAACGGCTTGGGATTGATCATAACCATGAGGATCAACGGTCTTCCTCAACTTCCTCCTCCTTTGTATACTCTGCATTACTCGACGAAAACAAGTGCTTGAAGAATGAAAATGAGCTCTTGAGCTCAGAACTCGACAAGACCAAGAAGAAATGCAAACAGCTTATGGAGTTGGTGGAGAGATACGGAGGAGGAGAAGAAGACGAAGAAGAAGGAAACTACACCGATGATGATAATGAAGATGAGGGGCTTAAGTTGTTTGGAGTGAAGCTGGAGTGAAACAGATCTAAGATTGAATTCCTTTACCAGCTTCTTCAGATTCTTACAAGTTTGCATAGATATCTTTAATTAAAAGTAAGACATGAAAGATCAAAACCTCGGATTTGTATTTGATAAAATCTCGAGTTCAAAACATGGTATTGGTACATTACAACATTTTGTATATATAGACGTAAAGAGCACAGTTGCTCATATATTTGCCATATTTACAACTATTTTGGGTGAGTGATCAGTTCTCTCTTTGGGCTGTGGTCATCAAGAGTTTTGGTTATACAAGCCGCAATAATGCTTTAAGTGGTTATGAGTTAGCTGCAAAATGGTTGAATATGGTCTCGAGAGTGGATTGACTTATACTGTATTCAGCTATTCCCAACAGATTCCTGCCATATGAAGAAGCAAATTTTCTTTCTTTCAGACTTGCAAAGACTGATTTTTGCGGATCATGGAGAAGAAACGGTTAAAAGAAGAATGTCTTACCGGTTTCGTTCAAGGTGTCCAAAGGCATCTGCAAGTGACAATCCTCCTTCTCCAAATGGCAACTGCAACAGAATCCATGTAAAGAATTGAGCACAAGACCAAGAGTAATCCCACATCCTGTAGCAATGACGTTTGTTTGACTTTACCTGGTATTTAATGCTCAACCCATTGCAGCTCTTGAATGTTGCGCCTGGAAACGAAGATTGTATGAAAGAATCCAATGCTGAAAACTTTTCTTTGGTTAGCCACCACTCCGCAAATATTGGCAGTGGAATACCACCTGTACAAAACAGATATATTCGTGTCACCATTGTGAAACAAGGAAAAATCTAATTACGTATGTGAGACTTGCGCTCATACCATCTCGAAACAGCTGTTCTGATAACTGATCATCGAATCGAGCATCTTCCTCAGGCATGGGAGGTAACAGAGTACTCACTCTCTGTTCATTACCAAGATACTTCGCAATCCTTTGTATCATTTCTGGTGACAAACTGATTTCTGATGCTGAAGCCGTATCAGGAGTAATAGAGTCAGAGACACCGATACAAACTTCGAGATCACCGAGCAAACTTCTAGGCTGTGAAGGAACGTTAAAGAGCCATTGCTGAATCATTTGGCAAAAGTTCTCCAAGTCCACATGGCTGACTTCGTTGGGTTTGACCTAATTGGTGAGACAGCCAACATAATGCATAAGCTTTGACAAATGATCCTTCGTACCATTGAAACAAAACACCGTCGAACTAAAATTACCTCTAACTCAAGGTGGTTTCCGAAGCGCGTCTTTAAGTGTTGTGGACTCCCTATGCATCTTAGGCGGCCTCCAACCTGTAATTTGAGGAGTATGGTTCTGTGAGGTGGATAGATTTAAGAATTTCAAGACTTAAAGAGTTCAAAAATGAGTATAAGAGATACCATGATCCCGATCCTAGTGCAAAGCGCTTGTGCTTCATTCATGCTATGAGTAGTCAGAATGACCGCTGTCTTTCCACTCCTTGTCGACAGGCGGGATATTACATCCCACATGAATCTTTTGGCAACAGGGTCCATACCTGAAGCAATTGACAAAAATAACACCAAAAAACTTTACAGAGTAGCTAACAGAGAGGAAGTCCACGTCAGTGATTCCAAAGCCAAACTCCAAAATTGTGGTTGGGTTATACCTGTAGATGGTTCATCAAGAATGACAATGGGAGGATCTCCAATCATTGCAATAGCAACGGACAGTTTGCGCTTGTTTCCGCCGCTAAGAGTGAACGATGGCTTGTGAGAATGTTTCAACAAGTCAAACTCGACTAACTTCTCCAAAACCACCTGTTATTAGATAATACCCATCAGATTATCTCCAACTAGCAACTTCCACTAAATATAAACAATTAATAGCATGGTTGTAATTTCAAATTTATTCAAATCTATCCTAAGCGGAAGAGAAGGATGGATTGGTTAAAATGTTGTGTAGGATTTAACGTAGCCAAAAACCTATTTTCTCTGTCACAATAGAAAGCGGAAAGAGACGACTCTATTATTGGGGGGAATCAGAGAATTCATCAAGGCGTGTAAGCAAGCATCAAACGCCAATCCCGAATAAGTGCCACTTACATTATCAATTCTATGATCAACCACTCCTTTGATCCTTGCATAAAATTCAAGGTGCTCCTTCACAGTCAAATAGTCGAATAAAGCATCAAACTGGGGGCAGTAGCCAATCTGAGTACGAAAGAAAAGATCATTATTAACATTCAATGTTGTTCATTCTATAGACTCAGTGAGATTGAGAAAGTAGATCGACATACATGCTGACGGATAGCTTTGGGACTCGATACAATGTCTTTACCAAAGACAAAGGCAGTTCCACTAGTTGGGGTTTCTTCTCCTGTTGCACCCAAAGAAGTGAGAATCGTACAATGCTATTTCTTCAGAAGTTGCAGTTGTCTACTGTCTATTTAGCTGTATCAAAGTCTTCAAGATAACATCACAACATACCAGATAACATAGACAAGGTAGTAGTCTTCCCAGCTCCATTCGTTCCTAAAAAGCCAAAACATTCTCCTGCTTGGACCGAGAAAGTTAAGGACTGTACAGCTACTTTTGGGCTGTGATGTTTGTAAGCAGGATAGACCTGAAAGAGTTGTACACTTAAGAAAAAGAGAGGAGCATCTCTGCTAACAATTGGGGATAAAGACCAGGCTTCAATACCTTCCTCAGGTTCTGTAAGTAGAATATGGTGTTGTCTGTCACCCCTGAAATCACCCTGTCTCTTTCCTCTTTCACGTCTATGTCATCCTCCATATCAGCGGAAATGGCTTCACTCGAATCCTTCAGAAGTGGCTCTGTAGAACTAGAATTAGCACCTTGTTTGAAAGCTTTCAAATTCTGCCACCAGTCCCCAATTGAGAAAGACATAATCTTTTGAACAGGCACGAGCTCAAGCCCAAGCGTCACAAGGAAGTAGAATATACTCTGTCAAATAAACGTTCAGTCAGATGAGAAATGTTGCTTATAAATTTTGTGTATAATCTCATGAGAAAATAGCAAGAGTAACGTAAAAGCAAGCCCAAAATACGAACTCTAATATTCACAAAAAATGAAATCATTGACACTTGATGATGAATCCATTTCTCAGGTTTTCAAAAGAGCAGGAACAAACAAGTTGAAGAAAAGGGAAGACTCTAACCTCCAAAGCTAGGTAAGAGATGGACGCTCCAGTGACATTCCAATCAAACACCCCATGACTGGATTTGTCTTTCATCCCCTGTCTTAGAAGAGCTAATGAAGCCAATCCATCAGAGAAGCAAAATCCAGGTGATAATCTGAAGAAGTTCTGTAGAAGCATAAGGAAAAAGGGATCAGTTCTTAGTCTTTTAAAGGCTCACGGAATCAGGAAACTAGAAGAACCCACACCTTAAGATATGCGTTTGCACTAACAGTCGCTGGAATAAGGCCCATAACAAATGAGATAACCATAAGGATAAGACCAGAGAAGAAGTGGACCATAAGAATAACATTCTGCGATTACAACAAAAACATCCGTCCATCAGTCAAAAACATTCAACAATATGAACTAGCTAAAGAGAGGAAAAGGAAAAAACAAATAACGATATAGGTAAAAGCACAGAGTAGTTGGAAGTTGCCTGAGCCATGCTATGCTCGGTGAAGAAAAATGTAAGACAGTAAGTTGATGATGCAATTGCCAAGCCATACTCCAGGAGCATAAGGACAGTCGGCAGAAACCGACCTATTCCAATAAACTGTTCCAGACCTAAAGAAAGAAATCAACCATTTCAGTAAGTTAATACCAAAGTACAGTGAAATAATGCACATGGAAATGAAAGACTAAATTACCAAAAGCGTAGAAGAGGATTATTGCAAATGTTGACGGAAATAAGAAACTGACGAAATCCCATACGTACGTTGATAACCAGTATGAAAGGACAGAAACCTGTACGCCATAAAAGATCACGAGGCCAATATTACAGGGTTTATAGTAAGAACCTGATGCCATGCTTGATTTTAAATACTCCAAAATTAGTCCATAGAAAAGTTTACCCCACTAATAAGCTGTTGATGCTTTGCTTTTACCTCCCTCTCCTGAATACGATAAATTACTTACAGATGTTCAGAACAAAACACTGGCAAAGTAGAAAGATTGACACTAAATCAAAACCTTCTGCCAAAACTAGTGTGAGTTTGACCTTACATACATACCTTGACAATGGGAACAGCAAAGGAGGCTGGGATGAACGAAAATGCGATGCTAACAATAATTGCAGCGGAAAAGGCATCGAAATCCTGCGTTGAAAAGAAAATAAGATCAAGCAACTAATATTATGACATTTCATTGTTCCGAAGAAAACAGTTTTGAGTCGGGGATAGTAGAATCAGATCTTCAGTGGTCGAGGAAAAAGAAGGTAGAACCGTAGAAGCCTGTCGAATGTACAAACAGTTTCCACTACTTCTACTGCTACAAACTTTTACTTTCTTTAAACCTTTGGTCCCAGTTACTGACAATCATTCCGAGGAATCCCATTAACTCCAACTTATTGCTCAAAGTGAACATAATTTCGATAAAATAATAAAATTGATACCACAGATAGGGGAACTACTCCCAATAGAAAAACATACATGACGCTGAATGCGCTGACTTTTTGTTGGTGGCAAAGGATGGTTTCGGGTTTGAATTGTCATATTCTTGTTACCAGTAGCAAGTCGGAGAATCGCAGCATGCATAACATTGATGTAGATTGGACCAGCATGCTGACAAGTACCGTTGTGTAGCACGGTGTATCCTAAACTCCCATCTGGATGCTGAGCATCCATTAAAATTGCCCCATACCTAAAGAGACACCCACGGGTAGCATTTAGCAAAGTCACTACATTCTCAGAAAATGTTTGGTAATGTGAAACTCAACCAAACATCCAGATGGACGTAAGAATATTCTCAAAGAGGTCATCAAAGTAGTTAGAATGCGAAGAGAATATCACCTAAGTGAATCTTCTGACTATAACAACGTTAATTCCTTGATTAATAACAGTCTAAGGCATGTCAGAATAAAACGAATTTTGCATTTGGATTTTCTGAAACAAAAATCTTAAATAATTTTGAAAGTTGAAATTCTTCGGACCCATGCATCTTTCAGAATGGCAGAAATCGATGTGACACAAAAGGACCCTCCGAACTTAAACTGACATAGTTCCAAGAGCAGCTCTTCAAATGCATACGTTTCATAATAATGAGAGCTTTGGTCTCACTTCCAGAAAAAAAGCAGGGTAACAAAAACTTGAAGGTAGTAACATTTAGAGCACATAGATTATTAAGCTTAACTTTCACAAAAGAATACCAAAGCATGAATCTGCTGGCGACATATACATACCTTGACTGGTAGGACTGATCAAAACTAGACATCAGAAATTCGCTCATAGAAAGTAGAGTGGGCCCCAACGTGGAACCTGCTGCATCAATTGCATCAGCCAATGCCTCTTTTGGATTAGGAAACTTATATGAACTATTCCTCAATGGTTGAATCCAGCCTCCTTCAATATATTGTGCAACCTGAATGCATCAGAGAAAAATGTTGAACACAACAAATGTTTGGTAATATGAAACTCAACCGTAGTGCACTGGATCTACGTCATGTATTCATAAAATTTAACAAATAAATGTGTAACAAAACTACTGCTTGCTCTACCACTTGTATACAGCTGCATTAGAGCGAAACCCCTCTACATACAGCAACTTAAACTAGTGAATCGAATAGATCACCATGGAAACTGTTTCATGCAATTTATCAATGAAAAAATAAATAAGAAGCAATTAATTTTCTTATACCTGTGTATAACTAAAGAGAGTGAATTTTGATTTACCAGGACTAAAGGGAGAGTTAATAACTTAGTATAGCGAGTAATAGAAGATGCCACCTAATTTTAGCTATACTGAGAGAACATGCATTTAGAAAATATTATAGAATGAATATAAATAATGCTCTAGAAACCTCTTTGGCAATTGGCTCAGTCAGATCAAAAGGAATCGGACCACCACCACCGTTGCCACTAAGGAGAGGGTTAAAATATGCAGTTGTCAACGTTATGGATTTCTGATCAGGATGTGGTTTGAGCTGAAGGAAAAGAAGGCCAAAAAGCAAGAAAACCGCTGGGATGATGAGCTGGAAAGCCACTGTTTTGCGGTCTCTGCATGCAGATCTTGCTCTTTTTATGAACAATGCTTTGAAATGCCGCCAAAACATTGACCTTGAGATAACAGAACAACCACAACACTGCATGCTAATGAATCCAATTAAAGTCCAAATTGCAGCAACGATCAATCTGCAAGCTTTTGCAATTGAGGTAATTACAACTCCAGCACCCTCATTACAACTTGCTAGCAATTTGGGTTGCATCGTACTCTTCTGAGTAGACCCAATGCATACCAGAGAAGCGTCGGTATCAGGAGAAACAAATGTATCTTCCTGCTTATCCTCGATATCTAAGTTACAGCCAGCAACTCTTAGAAACACCTCTTCAAGTGTCGTGACAGATATACCATAGCTCTGAATACCAGGATAATCTGAACCCTCAATCTCACTAATCCCAGATCTGTGATCAGAACTCTTCATGCAACTCTCAATTTCTCTGAACATGTTTTCAAAGCAAGGCAAGGATGCCAATGGAAGCTTGAAAGAGACTTCGTTTCCCACCTGGACAAGTCATCACTTATATAGATTAGGCAAGAGATGGGCTTTAAGCTTATCTAAAAGCAGTAGCAAATTTCTCTAAGGGAAACATATGCAGCCATTAACATGCTACAATATCCATTGTTTAGGAACTTAAGTCACACTTGGAAGATTCTCAACCACAAAATGCTCTACTCTAGAAGCTTGGAGGCTTGGAGCTATGAAAAGTACAACAGCATGCAGCAACACATTTCTTTCGTGAAATGAATTAGTCGCCGAGATGCTCTAAATTTCCTTAGAGAGTGTAAGGAATATACCTCACTCACACAGGTTGCTGATGGAATGTGACGATGAACTATACGTGAGGCAACAGAGACAGCTGGAGAAGTCTAGAACATAAGGGAGCCCCAGTTAATTTGATATTTTAAACAGAAACATTAACAACATTAACCCAAAATGAAAAGAATACAAACCAACCTTTACTAGCGTAAGAGTGTAACCAACCCCGTAGTGATGCTTCAGGAACATAGAGCTGCTTAGCCATAAAAAAACCAAAAATCATTGGTTAAGTGTTAAATGGAGCTATACATGAATAATTCATTTGGATCAGGAAAAAAAAAATACAAAATTTCATGTGACGCACTTTCATATGTCTAGTAAGATAATATAATCTTGGGGGATCTCTTGTTTCATTTCTGGTGTCTCAGCACCGACAAAACCAAATTGAAACACCTTTTACTAGTCATGAGCTGTATTTGAAAAATTCACCTAAATCACATCCTTCATAGTAACTACTAACAAACTCAAATTCAACAATTCCAGGGTGTGAATGCTTGGTTCAATTTGTGTTATTACCATGTCTCTAACAAATGCATCATTCTTCTTCCTAACTTTGAATGGAAAAACCAGAACGAAGGACAATGGAGTAGAAAAAGCCAAAGTCTTTAAAAATCACTTAACCTGCCACAACACTTGAGAGATCCATTAGCCATGATTCCTATCCGATCTCCAAGTTCTTCAGCTTCGTCCATGGAATGCGTTGTTAGCAATATTATTCTGCCCTTTTTAATTTTCTTAATCAATTGCCATGTAAGACGCATTGAGTACGGATCCATTCCACTGGTTGGTTCATCGAGAATAATCACCTGAAAGATGAAGTATTTTCAACGACAAGACAACCAATCAAGAGAAACATGCAAAATAAGATGCTTTTGTGTTTCCTTGTTACCTTACTGTTTCCTATCAATGCGATTCCAAGTGACAATTTCCTCTTCATACCTCCGGAAAGTGCCCGCACAAGTGTACTAATTTTATCAGACAATCCCACCTAGAAAAAGATCAATAACTAAGATTAGACAGCCGCGACCACCACCCAAAATTGGCAGGGAAGACAAATACAGCTCTCCACCCCACATGGTTGCATCAAACAACAAAAGGAATTCAATTGCTGTCCTCCAAAACTATATCATGAAGTCCAACTCATGCAGTCAGAATTTTTAATGCTTGTGCCATAAGCGCATTAAGTACCAGATGCTATGAAATCAATGGTGGAGAGAAAAAAATACACAATAGCTTGTATTTCACTACATACTTACTTCCTCCGCCATATTAGCAACTGTGCTTTTCAAGGAATCTTCCTTAACACCTTTAAGAACCGCAAACATCTCCAAGTGTTCTCTAACCTACAGCAGAGATAAATCATTCAGACGTTATCCCATATCAAAATATAAAACATCATATTCGAATGGTAAAAACATCTAATCAGTCATAAGAGTGAAACACTTAGTATAGAGAATCGAATTGCAAACATTACAAGCTACACTTAAAATAATACCAGAAGAAAAAACAAGGGATTTTTTTCACTTACTGTCAGTTCTGGAAAGAGGATGTCATGCTGAGGGCAAACACCTAGTTCTTTCCGTATCTCATCCTACAGAAAGAGATTGATGGTATAGAGATTAAAATCGCAAGAAATAGGGGAAAATAACAGCATAAAAAACCAGACAGATAAAATTCAAGTGATGCTAGAAAAAGAAAGCCTATCTCACACCTAGTTAGAGGTCAGAGCTTCTCGGTTATGCAAGAAATTAGATTCAAGTACAAATAAGAGAAAGCGATTTACCATGTTTGTTACGATACTGTTTCCAAGTATCAGGGCATCTCCAGAAGTTGGAGGAAGAAGGCCGACAAGCATTGATATTGTTGTGCTTTTACCAGCCCCATTATGGCCTTCAAGCAAAGGAGGCAAGATTTAATGAGAACATGAAGTTTAGAAATATCGTTTTTCAACTTGATTTCAGTCTTCTGGCATATGGATTGAGATTGCATGCATGGGTTCATGATACATCAGAGACAACATATGGATGGATGATACAGCCAAGGAGCATGATATCAAAATTTGAGGATTGATGTTATAAGAAAGCTTTCGCAACATGTTATAGAGTGGATTTCCCAACAATGGATACATAAATGAAACTAACCAAATTATCTTCACTGACATGCACAAGAGCTCACGAACAAAACTAGATTGTTGTTTACGAAAATGTAGATTCAGATGGAAATTCTCAACCATGCAACACAGAAAACAGCCAAATTAATAAATTCAATCTACAAATTTCTGAAACATTTTGATTTGGATATGGTAGTTAGCAAGCAAATATTAATGAGGTTATAGGAGATAAGAATATATAATAAACAGGAACAGACGTACCCAGAAGTGAAAGTATCTGGTTCTCGTACAATGTAAGTCGCAATGAACTAACTGCACAACAATTCCCCCTTCCTGAGGCAAAGACCTTATGCAGATTTTTAACTTGTATGCACCTACATGGCAAACATCACATGTGAATCCAGTGTCCAGCTTTGAAAAAACATTAGTTCCAAGGGATGTTTTCTTTTGATCAGATGTTATATGAATATACCTCCCATCAAGCTCTTGTTGCCTCATTTCCAGGCTTATCGATTCAGTAACTGGATCAAAAGGCTCGCCCTGAGTAACCTCTATATTCTCTGGGAGCGTACTAGTTTTGAGACCTGGAATGCGATATTGGATGTTGTTTTTCTTCCTCCCAAAGCACTTGCTGAAGATGAAGTTCCATGGGTACCGCACACCATTTTCCCTGGGGAGGACCTGCGGAAATAAACTCTTGGATTAGGCCCAAAGATGCCGGATATAGATAGACGAAGAGGAAATAGAAACGTCCTAATTACAATTCTTCAACAAATAACAATGACAAAAACAATAAAGCAGTCCACAAAATTGGTCATGACAAAGCTATTTTCCGTGAAAGTAAATTCAGCTTCTCAACAAAATCATATATACCAATAACTCTTTTCACTTGCTTACTACTGAGGAGTGGCATGCATTTCACGAGGACAACCGAAACAATAGAAGCAGAAAACCGTTTACAAGACGTGCAGTAAACAAAGACAAGTAGCAAAAGGAGGTACCTTGTCCAGATAAAGACCAATGGCGCAGTAAAGAATAGAGTCGAACAGCATCATCAAGAGGCAGACAAAAAAACTAACTCCAGAAGATGCCTACATGAAGATTGGCCAGAACAAAAGTTAAAGAACATAAGGAGAATCAACCTTGGCCTGTAGCCACAAACAAATCCATCATACCAGCCATATATTGCTCCAACGAAGTCCAACATGTGCACGCTCATAATCAGCAAAGTTGATTGATCCAAGAGCAAATGCAGTAGGTGAAAGCAAAGAAGCAACTACCTTCAATACCCTACAAGTTGAATAGTTAGTTTTACGTTAATTTATTCTAGACCAAATGTTTGTGGTACGGACAAGCATAACTTTTGCCTATCCATAAAACAACGACAAAAAAAGAAGAAGAGGCGTAGACATACATGGACACAGATTCATCGTTTACAGTATAGTAAGGGAAGAAGGCTCCGAGAAAGGCTAGGGTCCCAACTGCCACAGCTGTCTTTGCTCGAGTGAAACATGTTGATATAAGAAATGAGAGCATGATTGCACTGAGCCCAAATAAAAAGAAGTATGTGAAGACTAATGTCTTATCACTATACTTAAAGAGACTTCCCATCGTACAAGCTGTAATAATCCCAGAGCATAATGCAAACTGCAGAACAAAGTCAAGTTAGGAAAGAAACAAAAAATACCAAAAACTAAAATCCATACATTATATCGAAAGAAATGAGGCAATAGTCTACTTTTTCCAGCTGAAGTCAATATTGTAAACAACAGAAATTCCTACTGAGCTCCAACTTGTGATTTGACCATAATTAAGGGAAGAGGAAAACAAAAGTTCACCAATCAAAGCTCAAGCAAGAAAACCTGCCTGCAATGCATATGTGATAAACCATGACAAATGGAATATCTCATCCTTCAAGCCCATCATGTAAAGTCCTTCTCTTATTTTCTGCTCCTGCAAGATCGGGAAAAAAAAGCCCAAGTTAAAAGTGATAGAAACCAACTTTCAGTGAAACGCATAATACATATCAGCATTGTTCTAAAGTGTACGAAAAGTATATAACCCAAAGCAACCTTCTCAAAGACAGAGTAGCTGATAAGCCGCGAGATTGGATACAGAAATCCCAGCAGGTACCTGCTCAACAATTACCGAACCATACAAAGACTCAGATACCATACATGTATGTAGGGGGGAAACAAAGAGCAAGTGATACATACAACAATCCCATTACGCTTTTGACAATAGACTGAAACTCATCATCAGTGTATTCACGGGTTGGAAATGGAACCATTCTTATCTTTGAGGGGCTAAACAGACTCCATGGCAGCTCAAAGGGTGAAGCTGAACCAGTAGATGAATGTGATAATGGCAAGTCTATGTTTTGCTGAGAAGAAAATATAATGAAAGAGTCTACCACCTGCTGAAGCTGCAAATGGGTACGAGACTAATCAAATTTGGGGGGAAACCAAGATAATATCCCCTATCCAATTCAAATCCGACAACTTGCTTTGGTTTACTGGTTCACTATGTGAAAATCTAGCATAGAGTATAGTCTATAGATAAAAATGAATTGACTACTGTACTGCCTATGAGCTTTATATGGGGAGAAGATGATAGATAAACCCTAGGGAGCAAATTAGACAAACTTCCAAAGAAAGAACGTAAATGACCATACAGTCAAGAATCCGCTGAAGCTGTATTGCATTGTTGGTATGGTATTAATTCCCAGTTCCAGATCATTGACATAAGGTCCATTTGTGTCCATGATGGACTTAACATTTGGGAATCCTGCGAATGCCCATGTGTGGTTCAAGCGGATGCTATAGTCAAATAAATGAGGTCCTTGTTCATGGAATACCACAGCTCCTTTTATTTTTGGATTCGAACAATTCCTAAGCAAACGTGATGAGACTTTATCAGTTCAATATAAAAGACAGAAAAAGCATAAACAGCTAGTTGAAGAGAGTTGTCATCAGAGAATATAATGGGCATGTGCCAATACATAACATCAGGAACTAAATGCTGCATTTTACAAATAGCCCAGACCACAAAAGGGAATGACGAAAGTGAAGTCACTAGAAAAGACACTAGTCTTGTTTAGTCAGTACTATCGACTATCGTCAAGCGTGGAGCATATGGTAACAACTAACCCAAGAAGACACTGCTGTTATTCAAGAAATTCTAACCACTTCAGTGACTAAACAGAGAGAAATTCACCAGACATATACATGAAGTTTTTTGAAAGGCGACAAGGAACTGGTGATGAAATTGCCTTCTATCAGCTCGAACAAAGAACAAATCATACCTCAGTTCGCTGCAGGCACCATAATGCGCAGAGGTTATATAAGTTTCCAGCTCAATGTCATCTTCAAAAATTTTAGTAACTAGCTGCAGACAGAAGACGCAAGGTCAATGAACCATGTGACATATGAAGAGTAAACATAGCCGAAATGAGAAAATGTTAAACACTCTTAAGATATGACTCCAAAAGAGGAAGATACAGGCATCAATCGATCTAGGAGATTTCTATACAAGAAGTAAAGGTACCCGCAGTTCCGGAAACTTTAGAGACAAAATGTCGATCATGTTCTTTGTTTCATCTGTGTCAGGTGCAAAAGCTAGATATTCCCCTTCAGCAAGCAAAAGCTTCAAAACTTCTGGAAAACTGGGAGATACACCTTTGCCCACTTCGACCAGTGTATCTTTCTCTAAGTTCCTTGCAATAATCAACAACAAAATAAAACAGTGCAGGAAACACAAAATCACAATCCGATCATAGTAAGAAAACTGCAAAGCAAGAGTAGTGACAATGTATAAGAGTGTTAATCTTACGATTGAGCCGGATGAATTTTGGTGTCAACCTGTGTCCTCACAGCTATCAACAACAACATTACAACAGTCGGAAGCAAAATCTGCAAACAAAAAGAGGAAAAAAATTTATAAACAAAAGTCACGATTTTCGATCAACAATCCTTGTAAAGACCCAATTCCAAAACTTCAAACACACAACGCAACATTCAATTCAGCATCAACATGACCAGAAGAAACTCAGACGACGATCAGTGAATGGATTACACATGAAAACTAAAAAAAAAAAGTAAGTAAGTAAGGAAGACCTCGGCAGAAGTAACGAAGGGATGGCGAGTTTTGAGGAGCCAATTTTTGCGGAGCATGGCCTTCAATTGGCTCCTCCAAGTACCCATTTCGTCCGAAGTTCCCACTTTCCTTTCTTAATCAGAAGAGAAACCCAGAAATCCCGAGAGAGAGAGAGAGAGAGAGATTTCAATCGAGAAGAAAGGAAATGATTTCGCAGCAAGAAGAATCAAACTTTATGGTGTGGGGAAAGAGATCAATGAAAGAGAGAGGTGGCCAAGACTTGGGCTCGCCTCACTGACATTTGTGCTTCCATTTTTCTTTTCTTCTGCAATTTTTTTGTTCCTCTATTTTATTTTATTTTCTCAATTTTCCTTAAATTAAATTTATCTTTAGAAGTAAGATATATACTATAATTATTAATTAAGCAACTCGCTGAAGATAACTAACACAAGTGGTAGACAAAAGTATTGGAAAAACAACTAGTATTATTATATACATATTTTGATTCTTTTTTCTCCGCATGCAAATCTTCATTTTCTCTTATAGCTATCAAATTAGTTAAGTTTTGACAAAAGAGATAAAAAATAATATTTCTTCCGTTTCATATTGTATAATGATTTGGGTTTTTTATTTTATTTTATAAAGATTGATTTTCTACATTATATTTAATATATTTCTGTTTTCAAGACAATTTTTTAAATAAAAAAATATAAAAAATTAATATTAAATTAATAAACAAATAAAAAGTATTTTAAAAAGGTAAATAATTATTGTTTTTTAATATCTGTGAAACATCTAAAACATCATACATTCTGGAACCGAAGGAATACTCACAACAAAGGAAAAAACAAAAGAGATTGGATTAGCATAATGTCGTGTTAATTAAGAAGAGATTCATATTAAGTAATTAATTTACGAGTCCTGACGATGACCCACACCAAAACCTTTGCGTCCATGCCGTGGGCCGTGGGCTCCACAGTAAACACATGGAGTGCCCTGATTGGTTAATAACGTTGCTTGCCGCCAATTAGATAACGGGAAAAACAACGACGGTCCCTAAAGTTTGACGGCTGATGTTGTCGTCGATTTTAGTTAAACAGCCGCCATAAAACAACAATATTATTATTCTCCCCCAACTTGATCGGTATTTGTATGTTTTTTTTTTGTAATAAATAAAACATTGGAAAGAGTCAGATTACGAAAAGCTAAAGCCTTCACATGTTGGCATTTGAATTGCGCATTTGGTTGGTTGTTGGTGTTTAGACTTTGTTTAGTGGGACAAATAAATACGTTTATAAGGTTTTCTAGAATTTTAAAGATGTCAGTAATCAACCGTTTTGTGTTCAGGTGTAAACCAATAACTTGGACGTAACATGTTTTTCCAAAATGTCTAAGTTTCTTGTGGTTTTACTCTATACATATAATTCTTTCGACTATAAATAAATTTACGGTAATTGTATTCTGAAAAAATAAATAACATTGACAATCCATTGAATGAAAATATAAGCATATAAATTTAATCTTTAAAAATAAGCAACTGAAATTATGTGTACAAAAACACAGGGAGAGAGTCAAATAAGAAAAGAAACAAAAGCCCAAAAGAGTATATTGCCAGCTTCGAACCCTGACGGATTCAGCTTTTAAGGGGGACACATTTGCCAGATAAACCAGCTGAACTAACAAGATTTTCTTAAGATAAGCCCCGTAAATTAGTCACGCACGGCTCTGCGACGGCCAGAGAGCGGAATCTAATCGGATTCCAGAATAGCTCTGGTTGTTAGCTCGACTTCTCCGCCGGCGACTTTTGGGATCAGATTCTTAACAACGACTCAGATAGATTTCGCCGATAAGGGTAAAGCTGCTGAATTTTAAATGCAACTCACTCAAATAGGTCCCAATCTATCAAACAAGTGTTCGTTTTTGCCACCTGTTGAGCTTTCTAAGGTTTTTTCTCTTTCCCTTATTCTTTAGAGTGATTGTTATTCTACTCTACTCTTTTTCGATTTCCGCTTTTTCTAATTTGTTTAGTCTGAAAAGCAAAGTAGTAATTTTTATCATTTGTTTTTGGGATTGAACTTTAGGACCTTTTTGATTTTGTCCTGGTAGTGGAGGACATATCTGGAAACTGTTTTTTTGGATCCCTTCTTGAGCAAACTGTCTCCTGCTTATGTACTGTAGTAAGAAACCAACTAAAATCAAACTCTATCATGAATATGTGAATCTCCTCTGCAGTTGAAACTAAAAAGGTGTTTCTTGGGTTGAACTTTTAGGGATTTGTCTTAGTGTCAAACAAAAAGCTATGGTTTTGAAGATTACAGCTAAAATTTGCAAACACTCTGGACTTTTATATCGTAACTTTATTCAATGTTTACCTGCCACATTGTTCGATTGTGTCTTGTCTCTTTTTGAACTTTCCTTCATACCCCTGTTTTTTTTTGCGTGTGTGGCTATGGCTTAACGCAGAATCAGCATCTTCTAAGAAGTCCTGTGTTTTGGCTACAAAGTCAATGGATTCCAGTAAAAACCATGTCGAACCCTATCGAACCAAGTCTTTTAGTCGAGAGAGCAGTGTAAGCTCTTCGTTAAGCTTATCACGTAGCCTGCCTCTCCTGATTAACAATGATGTCGATAGTGAGAGTGTCTCAGAGGCTGGGGATATTGGGGATCGCTCACTTCGGAGAAGGCATAGTAGTGGTAGAAGTAACCGTTTGTCTGCTGAGGATTTGATAGAACAAGGGACTGATGATACTTCTCGTCAAGAACAAGATGGGTTACATGGCCTTCAGGCCTTGAACACATCTTCTGTGATCAAACCTTTGCCCGAGGACATAACAACATCTCCTTTACCGACTAAGTCACTCTTGGCACATGAGACAAACAACCCGGTAGAGATCATCTCTAGTTTCTTGCAGTCACATTAAAACTGTTAGTATTGGTTTCTCAGTTCAGTGTTTTTTTGATTCGTGGTTTGCATAGGTAAAGGAGAAAGAGTGTATGTTACCAAAATCCTTGGAATACATATCGTGCCTGATTCATTTGGCTGTTTTTGGTATACTTGGGGTAAGTTTCGGAGGCTTTACTTTTGGGATATGCTTAATTTCCATGTTTCTCTTTCTGGCTCTCTGCTCGTGCTTTGTTTTGTTGTTAATCCCCTTGTTGTCTCCAAATAAACAGGCTATTACGAGATATTTGCTGCAGAAGTTGTTTGGACCAACTGGTGCTCGAGTGACCAGTGATGGAAGCATCTTGTACCTTGATCTTCCTTCCAACATGGTAAAAGTCACGATGCTATCATCTTGAAGAACCCACCTTTTGTTACAGACCTGTCTCTCTCTTGAGATAACTCTACGCATGATTCCTTATAGGTAGGATCGTTCTTGATGGGTTGGTTTGGCGTCGTATTCAAAGCAGATATAGCAAACGTTTCTGAATTTCTAGCGATTGGATTGTCGACCGGTTATTTGGGAAGCCTCACAACATTCAGCGGTTGGAACCAGAAAATGCTGGATCTTAGTGCCGATGGCCAATGGGTCTACGCTGTGCTTGGCTTTCTTTTAGGTGAAAACAGAATTCCCCTTTCATATCATACTATCACTACCTAAATTAGATGAAACATACTTGCTTACAGTATACACAACTTTGCAGGATTGTTTCTCACATCGTACTCCATCATTCTCGGGGTTGAAACAGCCAAAGGTTTCAAATGGCTTATTCGCAGAAGAAGCTCCGCGGAAGGAAACTCTTGTCTCAAGGTTAACACCTTCAAGAGCCATATTGTGTCTATGACCATAATGCTTCTGTTTCTCGTGGCTTTACTCGCTGTGAGTGCCACTCTGCTTGTAAAAGAGTTTGACAAAGGAACTAGCGAAGCTCAGCTATGGTTAGGTTGCTTAGTTGCAGCCCCTGGTGTCTGGCTCAGATGGTTCTTAGCCCGACTCAATGGACGTGGACTGGGAAAAGATAGACAACACTTGAGGTGGGTCCCATTTGGCACCCTCATTGCAAATGTAGCTGCAGCTTGTGTCATGGCAGCTTTGGCCACGTTAAAGAAATCGGTATAAACTCTTTCTTTCTCCCTTTCTACCAAAGCAGACGACACAAGATAACATTCTCTGTATCTGCTTTGTGAAACAGGTGAACACGACAACATGTAACACTGTTGCTTCGGGCATACAGTTTGGTCTGTTGGGATGCCTGAGCACGGTTTCCACCTTAATGGCGGAGTTCAATGCGATGAGAGAAAGTGATTACCCATGGAGAGCCTATGTGTATGCATGTTTCACCATCGTGGTTTCTTTTGCGATCGGAACTGTTATATACTCGGTCCCTGTTTGGGTAGTGGGGTTCAGTTAGCTGTATTCAAAACTAGATGAGTCCTGTGCAGAGAATTGTTAAGGTTATATTTGTCAATATTTGGTAGAGAATTTGAGATATGAACGATCAGATCAATGACAATCAAGTTGTGCACAAGTTTTAAGAGCAAGCTTTTATACTATAATGATAACCTTTTACTGTTTCACATAAAATACAATGATTCTATATTTCACACTGCAAAAACACAACCACTAACAAAACCCTGTACATTCCTGCTTTAGACCATTGTCACACTTCTCCCAACTTTCTCTCCACAAGAGAGGTAAAAAAAGAGATGCCAAGTAGACAAATTCATCTCACGATTAGGAGGATCAGACAAACAGAAAGTCTTAAAAGGGAACGGCTCACTTCTCTTGAGGGAGGTAATTGTATGTGGAACAGCTTGTCTCTGTCTTTGTCACCTACGAAGAAAAATAGACAATTATATGAAATATGGAGGATATGTTGTAGTAAACCACATAACTCTCTGGTTTCTATCAGATAAAGAAAAATATCGTCTCCGTAGAAAAGTATATGAAGATGAATACAAACCTCTGAAGTATGAGATGATCCTGGGGGAAGAAACGGTGTCCAGAGAATTGGGTCTGCGAGGGGATCCAATGTATTGTAGTTGGTGAGCAATGGAGCAGTTAAGAGAGAGGTAAGTGGGTACATGCTTTTCTGAAGAGACAAAGCAGCACCGCCTAGAGGAACTCCGTGACTCGCCACCGGTTTCTCTATTTCCTTGCCATGACTCTTCTCCATATTGATGATGTTACGATTTGCATTCTCATCGTTTTCTCTAGTGCTGCTTTCTTGGATCTTCAGCAGTTTCTCCTCCAGGCTCTTGTAAGCAGGTGACGCAGACAAAATGCTCAAAGCAGAAGAGGTGGAGGATGGTGATGATATTTGTTTGTCTTTTCTCGGAGTGCCACGAAAGACACCAAGGTTTGGCGCTTTGTATGGTTCTGTTGCCTGGGATGCGTGTTCCAGTGTTTTAAGCTCAGTACCGGCATCTTCTACCTTTGTCTCCTCTGATGCCTTTGATGAAGATTCTGGTTGACGGGTTTTGTTGACTCCCCACCACTTTATGTATCCTGTTAGATCAATCTTTCTTTCCAGACAAAAGCTACCAAGAAAGTCACCTTCTGCTCCTCGATCATCACCTGCCCCTGTTATTAATGAGAATTAAGTTGTGCATGGTCCAATGCAGCTTCAACTTCAAAGATGGTCCAGTGTTGTTATTAGAAACTCACCATAATGAATGTTATTGAAGTATTCAGGTCCAGGCATCCGACTGGTTGATGCATCCCAACGGCTGGTCAGGAATTGCAGAATAGTTGGGAAAAAAAAACAGCAGAAATGCATATCAGTTTTGAATGTTAAACTGTGACAAAGAAAGGTAAAAAAAAAAGACAAAAGCTAGAGATGGCTCTACCTTTGAAGTCCACGATATTTCGCTATTCCCCTTGAGAAACCGCTGCTTTTTCTGCCAAAGGGATATCTAAAAAGTATTAGCAATAAAGAGTTCTCAAAAAGAAAAAAAATGTATTACTTCTAAATACATACGCACCTACGTAGAGATGCAAGGTATTCTTCCCTTGAGAGATTTTGCATTTCTTCTAAGTCCCTGGTGTAATCCGTCACCTACAAGGTTCAAATACGATCAAAAACAATGAATATGGAGAAAATTAACCATCCTTCTTCCACTTATTATTTTTATAAAATTGACGAGCTGTACAATCATAAAAGAATCCATTGAAGAGTTTAACCATCAATTTTTAAAGCATACTATAGTAGGAATCTCACCGGAAAGTTTATAAGTGTCCCAGGTCCCCAATATTTCAAGGCAGCAAGGTCGTAAGCTCTAGCAGCAGCCTCTTCATCATCATATGCTCCTGTCAAGTATATGAGTCGGCTTCTTCAGTTGAAGCTAAACCAATTTGATGCCAAGTGTGTTCGGATACACAAAAACATAATCAACACCTCCAAAGCTTTAATCTTACCTAGATAAACTGGTTCGGCGAAAATTTGCATCATCCATGTTAACATAACAAACGAAAAAGAGATCAGCTTTGATACTCACTCTCCAAACATGAGATGACGAAAGTAATTTTGTTGGATGAAGAGAGAAAAAAAGAGAAACCTTGTTTTCCCTTCTTGTTCTGGTTTTGGTTCCAGGTACTCTTATCCCAAAGATGAGCTTCGTACCGACCTGTCCATCTATGCCTGTACTCAGACAAATTTTAAGATTAGAAAACGCATCAGCAAAACAGTACATTCAACTCTTGATGGATACCAAACGCAGTTTCTGACTCTTAACCTGTCTTGACAAAAATAAAACGCTCGACTTTACTACAGAATGATGTCTAGAATTCTCAATATCTGAAAATAGGTGAATTAACCATAAAATTAGATATTTCTCAGAACAATTAACCGATTCCAGATAACTCAGCTCTACACAAGATGAACAATGACAGCTCCACCTAATCCTAAGATTCCATATTCCGATTCAAAAAAATATCAATCCTACCCTCCAATTCCGGTATCATAAACCGGAATTCCGGTTTGGAGTGAATTAGCCGGAAAAGGGCAAACAATCACAGTACCTGGTGACTCCACGGTATATGGAACTCCTTTTGCCGGCGGTGCAGGGCGGCATTTTACTGATACGCTCCTTGGCTGTGCAGCCTCTCTCCTTCTTCGCCTTCTTAAAACCTCTATACAACAACATCTGATCGCTCGCCGCCACAGTCTCCGAGCTCTCTCCTCCTCCTCCAACTCCTCCTCCGCTGCAACCCGCCTCTGTCTTAGGTCCGTGATCCGACGACGACATCGACGCCATGATCAGAACCTCTTCCTCGTCCAAACGAAAGCAAACCCTAGGAAAGAGAAAAAAGGCGCACTGTGGCAAGCAAAAACCGAGCTCGATACAGTAGGGAGCAAAGAGAGAGAGAGAGTGTGTGAGTGAGAGAGGTGAGAAGAGAGAAAGAGATGGCTGATTTAACTTTGACTAATTCTCCTTCTATTTCACCGAATACAAATGATTTTCAGATTTTTGAGTTTCTCTTTAATCTTATCTAAACAACGGCAAAATAAATTACGGACTGAAATTTACCATTACGTCCCGATTTTGTTTACCCTTTTTTCACGATGCGAAAGAGAACAACTGCAACGGCTATGAACGGGGTTGAGGGTGCTTTCGTCATTTAGCATAGTAGGTTTTCCTCCGTATTCGATGCTGACATGTACTAATTGTGTCCACGTGTACGTGATCTGTTTCTCGGTTCTGACATTTTAATGTGGAGTGTTTCCCAACACTCGCCTCGTTCAAAGAATATTCTTTGTATGGTACACTCAAATCGTTGTTTTTTTTTTGGGTTATCAAACTTGATAGCTTATTTTAATCATTTTGATTCTTCATATTTCTCTACCGTTGTAATGACTTACACATCGAATCTTCCCATTTCTAAATCATATTTCAAAATTTTCAAATGAAAATGTTTCCAAACAAGATTAACAGAGACTCTATAGCCAACAATCTACGTTTATTTTCAATACCTCAAATTATTTCGTTTTGTGAACCAGATTATCGTATTGACAGAGAGCATTACAAGTTTAAAAATATGGAGTATAAATTATCACTCACTTCAAAAATCTATACAATGGAAATTACAATGTGCCTTCGTGTCTATGAGGTGGACTCAGATCTTCTCTCCTTTGTTTCTCAATGATTCTATAGGATCCAACAACAACAAAAAATGAAAAGTGATTCTTAAGTTAGCCACACCAAACAAACTTAGCTGAACCAAAATTCATATAACTGACTTTATTCGTGTTCATCTCACCCATTTTTTGGCGTATTAGAGGCTCGAACTCGATCCCAGCACTTCTTTCACCAAAGGAAACAATGTCGCGATACATTTGGTTTGAGGGTTGAATACCAGCATCACTCATCCACTCTAAAACCTGCAAACCATTCACACAAAGTCAAAACTTGGTCGGTTTTGATGATCACTGTTAAATGGAAACTAATTTGGCAGGTGACAAGTAAAAAGAGTAATCACCTCAATGTATTTTCTCCAGTTTCCAACAGCTAAAAGATGATCCAATAGTATTGCATAAGTCTTGAGGTTGATTTCAACACCAGATGCTATTATCTTATAGAACAGCTGCGTGTGTCAATGGTGAAACACGGTTTGGTTAAGATTCTTGTTTGATCTTCGGTAGCCAAGAATAGAAGATAATGCGGCTAGTCTAGTTAGCATATAAATTAAAAGTTATTTGCACCTTCATCATCGCTTCGACTTTACCACTCTTCCCAAAAAGATGCAGCATCTGATTAATTAAGCCGATAGAAAGCGATGGAAGATAAGGCTCCATCATCTGGACGACGTCTACAGCTCTTTTCCATTCTTGCAAGCTGCAACGTTGAAAGAAGAAGGAGAGAACACGGATGATGTTTTGCTGTCTCCCTAAAAGGAGATTTATTATTGTAATTGCGGAATTTGACATACGAGTACTTACGTGTTACAAGCCGAAAAGATCTCAAAGAAAACTGCTCCATTGAAGGGGACTTCTTTCTCACGCATTAAATCCATCAGGATAAAGACATTTGACGGTTGGCCTCCCTTGTTGAAAGCTCTCATCAAAGCTGAACATGCAATAGAATCTGGATCTATCCCATTTGCTTCCATTTCCAGGAACAGTTCACAAGCCTTTTCCCACTTTTCTGCGGACACCAAGAGGATTCAGATCCATGGAAGACATTTTTTGTTACAATTTTCATGGAATACATTTTTGTTACAATTTTCGTGGTATATACCTGAAGCATTGTAAGCATGGAGCATTGAAGTATAGGCGATCACATCAGGTTCGCACCCAGCCATCTTCATCTCGTTGAATATGGATTCCGCTTCGCTAACTTGACCCTGGAGATTATCACAGCGTAAGTGAAAAATCAAACCATACAGGAATTCAAGAGTGCAGTCTTCTTCTGAGCAAAACTCTAAAACACTTGCCTGTTTGCTGTACGCACATAGAACAGAAGAGTACACCTCTTTCGTCAATCGAATACTGAGATCTCTCATCTCCTTCAAGTAACTAATTGCTTCAGGGTATTTTGACATCCTACATGAACCGCTTATAAGGATAGTGAAAGTAACGGAATCAGCCCTGACTTTCCTTTTTCTCATAGTCTGATACAATGCAATGCCCTTCTCAAGTTCTGCACCATTTATGTAGCTTCCAATGGCTGAGTTATAGGCTGCCGTATTGAGCTTGATACCTCTTGACTGTGCTGCGGAGAGTACAGTTTCAACATTCACTTTTTTCCCAGACCTACTACAAGCAGCCAAAAGAGTGCACACCGAAACAACATTCGGCTCGAAGCCGTCTTGCTCCATCTGCCGGAAGATTCCCACAGCTTCAGCAAGAAACCCGTTAGACCCATAAGCATCAATCAGTGCATTGTAAGTAACAACGTTAGGCTTTCTCCTTTCCTTCCTCATCATGAGGAACACCTCCTTTGCTTTTTCAGGCTGACGTGATCTTCCGTAAGCATTGAGCAAGCACGTGTAAGAGACCACGTCAGGGAGCATACCGTTCCCCTTTATCTCTTGGAAAACCGAGAGAGCATTTTCACTCATTCCATGAACAGCATAGGCACCCATCAAGGCATTGTAGGAAACAACGTTAGGTCTCAGACCTTCCGCAAGCATTGATTCGAACACGGCTCTGCAGTTCTCCACCTCTCCCCTGACAGAGTACAAATGCATGATGCTAGTGAATGTCACAACATCAGGTCGGCACTCAGATCTCTTTTCCCTCATGGAACTGAACACGTCTAGGGCTTGGCTACTCTGACCAAGCTTCGACAGGCAATATATAATGATGTTAAAAGTGGTGGTGTCGGGACGAACTTTGGCTCCCTTCATGAGCTCAAAATAAGATAGCGCCTTTGAGTACTGACGACCACTCTTGTATGCCGACAAGACAATGTTGTGGGTCACCAAATCAGGACCAACTCCGTTATCTGTCATTTTCTTGCAAACGTCAAGAGCCTCTCTCCAGTTTCCACTCGATCCACAAGCATTGATCAGATTGTTGTAGGTTGAACGGCTAGGAGCAATCTGCAAGACCAAGAGAAGGTTCAGAATCCGTGTTTTGAAGCAACACTGAGACAAGGCCCAAAACTAGAAAGAGTTTACACACAGCTGCACGTAACATGTCATCCATAAGATTCATAGCCCAGCGCCACTGACCAGCACGACCATGTGCATTGATGAGAGCATTGTACGTCTCGGCATCCGGTTTGCAGCTACAAACCACATATCATGAAGGTTCTCAATCAACGAAACTTCAAAAGAGAGAGGCTTTGCTTCTACATCTCAAAATTAAACTAGAAATATAACAAATACCTCCATTTCTGCATTTCGAAGAAGAGACCACGAGCCTGATCAACCCAATTATGCCTAGCGTGAAGCCTGATCATCATATTGTATATATCGTTCCTCGCACGATAATTCTTCTGATTCTTCATCCAATTGAAAACATTTACACAAAGCTCGATGCATCCTCTTCTACTGAGCTCCTGCAAAGTTACGAAATTCAAAGTCCGGTAAGTTCACTTTCAAATACTCCATCAAACAATTAATAAGGTAAAGGAGTTTTGTTTTTAGCTCACAGACCCTGATAAGAACCGGGAAATTCTTTCTAGCGAACCGGCCGACCCATGAATTGAGAACGCCATCAACTTGGTCCCAGCGATTGAGAGCCATAAGCCGGTCCACCACCTCCGATACGGTCCAATCCTTCTGAAACCGGTCGTTCTCAACCCTAAGCCGGTAGCGTCTCGGAATATCCGATTTCCTGAACCCGTCGACCCGGACAGAGGGGTCATGCTCCCCTCGGTCGTAGTTCACCGACACAGATTTCTTCTCCTGGAATGCGTCGGAGGCCTTCGTAGCTCCCGGACGATCGGCGCGGGAAGATTCCGGCGGAGTGACGAGCTTGAAATGGGTGGTTGCCATTAGAACCCAACGCGGGGAAGGAGGGTCATCGGTGGGTAAATAAAATAAAGGATAACGTAGTAATCAAGCCCATCATCTACCATCTACGGCCCATTCTATTATTTATATTTTCCATATTTATTGATGATAACATTAGTTAAACATAAGCTTAATAATTATAAGGATATGCATAGTAGAACTAAGTTTCGATGATTTATATTTTAGTTTTTAGACTTCGTAATTTGTTTTTAAGGATTTCAGATTTTAACCAATATTTATAACTTATTACTTAAATTTAGACCCATTTTATTAGCTAAAGAAAACATATACTATTAAAAAAAATTGCTTAATAGTTTATTTTCAAGATCTAGATTTCAAAAAATATTGAATTTTATAAGTACAAACCAAATTTCACGATTCTTTTCTTTTATCCACCTAAACATACATCAAAAATGCCAAAATAACTTATTAAAGTTTCAAAAAATGCTAACAAAATGATTGGAATAGCTACTGATATGTCTATTGACTGCAACTGTTTTTAATAGTTTAATAAAACTGAAAGGAAATCAGCCTCGTGTTTCTCTTTGGATTGAAATAACCTTTAACGCATTTTGAAATCCTCCAAAACATCCAAATTCATCGCTCAAATTTTATTTTAAAGATTTTTTGTGTCTCTGACGAGATTTTTAAGTAAATACTCATCTCTTGACCAATAGTCAAGATTGTCAAGAACCCTATCAACACTACACAATCAAAAAGGTGATTAGAGTTAATATTTACAAAAATCCAAATAACCAAAAATCCAAAAATCTAAAAAATATATTGGTTATCCTATTGTGAGCTTTCTTGATACAAAAAAAATGTATACAATTGCTTACCTCTATTCAGTAAAAACATATTGATATTTCTCTCTTGATCTGATATGACAATGTTGGTGAGATTGGTGGCCAAAATTTCACAATCTCAAACTTTTTCTAGAGAACTAACGAAGTGAAATTGACGACTTTTTCCTACTGAGCAAAAATTGGTCAAAAGAAATTGTTTGACATATCAAAAAGACTACCTAATCATTTCCATTTCGAATTTGATGCTACATTAATGTCACTATTTTCTGTTTTTGGTTAGCTTAGATTAGAGCTGATGTGGCACATAAATATTGTCTAAGTAGGGATTATTGGTTCTTGTATTTTGGTGGATTTATAATTTTCTTTGGATTTGATAAATTTATTGATTTCAAAATCAGCAAAATAGAAAAAAATCAAATCCACTCAAATACCAAGGTTAGATCTTGTATTTGGGTCTTTGTATTTTAGTCATGAAAATCCTTCCAAATCCATTCAAATTCAATTAAGTAGGAGTTATTGGTTCTTGTATTTTGGTGGATTTATAATTTTCTTTGGATTTGATAAATTTATTGATTTCAAAATCAGCAAAATAGAAAAAAATCAAATTCACTCAAATACCAAGGTTAGACCTTGTATTTGGGTCTTTGTATTTTAGTCATGAAAATCCTTCCAAATCCATTCAAATTCAATTAAGTAGGGGTTATTGGTTCTTGTATTTTGGTGGATTTATAAATCTTCTCTGGATTTGATAAATTTATTGATTTCAAAATCTGCAAATTGGAAAAAAATCAAATCCACTCAAATAGCAAGGTTAGACCTTGTATTTGAGTCTTTGTATTTTAGTCATGAAAATCCTTCCAAATCCATTCAAATTCAATTAAAACTCAAATCCTTATAATACTTAGATTCTAAAATGATAGAACCAATAACACTGTATTTCATTATGGATTTTAAAATCATAGAACCAATAACACTGTATTTCAATATAAATTTTAAAATACAAGAACCAATAACACTGAATTTGGTTTGGATTCTCAAATCCATTAAAATACAAGAACCAATAACACCTCTTAAAACTCAAATCCTTATAATATTTAGATTCTAAAATGATAGAACCAATAACACTATATTTCATTATAGATTTTAAAATCATAGAACCAATAACACTGTATTTCAATATAAATTTTAAAATACAAGAACCAATAACACTGAATTTGGTTTGGATTCTCAAATCTATTAAAATACATGAACCAATAACACCTCCTAAACTTAAATAACTTTGATGTCACTATTTTCTGTTTTTGGTTAGCTTAGGTTAGAGCTGATGTGGCACATAAATTTTGTCAAAACTTAAATGAAATGGTGATACTTTTGTCACTGATGGAAAAATCAATGTTGTAGAAACCCACTTCAACTTATTCTTGCGATTTAAAGAAAAGAACTTAGTCAAAGAGAGGTGAATAAGCATTAATGAACATATGGACTGAACCATGTCAAAACAGTCAAAGTCAAGACTGATACTCAAACCAAGCCAGTTATTAAATTAATCACAACAATCGAAGATCCAAATTGAATCAAATAATTCTTACCCACAATCGAAAATCTGTCTCGGGTAAAACAATCATTACAATCTATGATCATCATTACAAGATACTTCAATGTTCTGTAAAGAAAACATGAAGAATCAAACCCAAACCAACCCATGAAGAAATGTATTTGAGCCAAGTAAATGAAACTGAAGAAGAGAAAGAAAAAAAAAATCGGATCACTCTTCAAACCAACAACAAATTGACTGACCACATAAAACCACTAAACACACGATCTGAAGATAGTAAGATCAGATCAGTGTCAATAAACGATGCTTGAAATGTTTTTCCAATGGTGTAAGAGTTTTAGAACAAGTCATATTTCTTCTTAAGCAGATCTTGCTTCCAACGTGGTAAGTTGTTGAATGCTTCTTTCTCCATCCCAAACACACTTTGGAACTCTTCCTCGGATAGATAAGTCTTGTAAATTGATCACAACAATAAGAAACCGACAAGTTAGGCTTGATAGCAGAGTGATTCAGCTTCTAATACTAACTATAACTAACTCACCTCTCTGCGTTTGAAATCGATTCCAGTCACTGGATTCTCAGATCTGGCTCTTAGCTGTTCATAAGTGAATGTTGCTCCACTTGTTTCCCTTTCAGAATCATCTTGCTCTTCTGTTTCTTCCTGCTTTGCTTCTGGCTCCTCTACTGCAGCTGAAACTTCCTCTTCTTCCTTGGTTTCATGGCCAGCTTCTTCTGAAGGATCAGCTTCATCTTTGGCTTCAGCTATGGAGAGAGATAAAGATATAGTCAATTGTGTTATCAGAATTTCAAAACGAATAAATAAAAGGAGAGAGAAACATACTTAGAGGGTTGTCATCAGCTGGGTTGGAGCTAGTGGATCTTCTTGTAGGAGAGGTGTCAGGTGATTTCTTATTTTCAGCAACAAGAACTTGAGAGAGAGCAGCGACTGCTGCTGCTCTCTGTGAAGCCTGACTCGTTCCCACTGGCCTTGGTGGTGGAGGCGACTTAGTTGATGATGAAGAAGAACTGAAAGCGGATGTCAAGGCAGCTAAAGCTTCAGCTCTTTGTCTTGGTCCCTCTTGGCTTTCGCTTGATCTGTCCTGGCTCTGCAGTAAAAAATGGATCAAAGAATCAGATGCGACTTGCTGCAAATACGAAGATGAACCCCATTCAATGTGTTCAAGCAGATAATTGGTCGTAGATTGGTTTGTACAAGACTGAAATGTCCATTACTAGGAAACTTATGGAAAACTAAAATCAAAAGCTAATATCCTAATATCTACTACATAGAGTTTGTGTTTGGAAAGATATTTACCGAATAAGCAGTCCTGCTAGTAGAAGAATTAAAAGCAGAATTTAAGGCAGCAAGTGCTTCAGCCCTTTGCCTTGGTCCTTGGTTCCCACCGCTTGACTTATCCTGCAGCAGCAACAGAAAGATAATATTATGAACCAAAGTAGCCGAAAAGTAACAAGAGCATTTTGCCATTGTCATAACCATTTCAGGCACAAAATCCTAAGAGAAACAGAGAAAGCAAAGATGTAGTACCTCCACAACGTGATGAGTGCCCAATAACAACGCTGCTTTTTTCTGGAATGAGTTTCCTTGCACCTATATCACCGGTTTAAGACATTCAAGAAAGGTAAGCTTAAGGAGAAAAGAACACATTTTCATGCCAGCCACTGAAAAAAAAAAAGAGAAACTAAGCTTACAATAGCTTTGGTGGGATCCCAAGAAAAGTAAGCGGTGAAGAAGCATGGTTCGTTCCCTTCGGTGATTTTATATAGTGGAACTTTAGGAGACAAGCCTTCCAAGGAACCAGCACGATCTACGTATTTCTGCATATATATATAAACTGTCTCATTCAACAAACAGTAGAGCAACAAAGAGTAGAGAAAAGCAAAGTTGATAAGGAAAATACTTACTTGGCCAATCTCAAATACAGTTTGCTTCTCCTTAGGGTCCACACATTGACCAACCCAGACAAAAACTTCAGCATGAGTGTCCAGTAAATATATATCCTCAGTCAAGAGGTCATCTTGAGCAAAGTTGTAGATCTCTTCAACCTGTTGCAGAGAACTTTGTTTAAAATCTGACCCAAAAAAAAAAAGCATCTCGAACAAATAAAGTTGGATAATTTCGCCAATATCTCACCTGAAACTTTCCTGCGGGGTTCCAGGCAGACACATTTGAAAGAAAAATGATAACAGTTAGAAGATAGATAAATGTGAAGAGTAAAGAATCAGAAATTATAATCAGAATTAAAAAGTTTCACCTCTGTTGAAAGAAAATGAGAATAAGTGAGGATCCCTGACAGTCTCAGAGGAAGCTTTCTTGCTGGTGAAGTTCTGTTTTCCTCCAAGTGCAAACCAAAAGGTTGAGCTCTCTGTGCCTTCTTTGGCATGCTTGAGAGTAATCCCAGGCTGACTTAGCAAAAAAGACAAGATGATTAACATATATATTTAAAAATTATTGGAAGATTCAAGCAAGACTGAAAACAACACAATATGATCCGACACTAACCTTCAAGAACTCAGCAACTTTAGCTGCCAGTTCTAGCAGTTCATGCGCGCTTTGATTTCCATGCCATAGGAACATTGAAGTACCAGATTGCAGAAGGAAGCACTCGTAAGAGTTCAAAGATGTTGCCACCTAAAGGAAGTATCACAAATTACGAGTTAAATTAATAAATCAAAGAATAGTATATCTCAGA